AAAAGTATATAGAAGGTGATTATCTTCTTCTCTTCGCAGAGCTAGTAGAAATTAATTAAGCTGTAGCTCTCGTAACTGTTAAGAACTAGCAGGCAGTAACTGCTAATAACTCTCCCCTTTATATGCCTATTAAAGTGCTCTAACTACTTAATACTAAGCTTGTTTGTTGTCTAGCTGTTCTTAGAGACTGCAATTACCTAGTCTTAAGGCAGGTTTTCCTCTTTATACTAGGCGGAGAAGTAGTGCTTGCCTTAGAAGATAATAAAGAGTAGAATCGCCTACTTTATCGCGTCTATGCCTTAGATAGCTGTAACCTACTCCTAGTTGCCTTGCTGCACTATCTTTAGCTGTCCTTAACAGTCTGCTGCTATAACTACTGCGCTAGTTAATATTACGCCTATTATAAAGCTAGTCTTATTAAAGTTGTACGTGTCTTCGTCTTAGATGCTGTACTTCGCCTTTGTATTCTGTACTAGGCGGAACTAGCTTTAAATAACCTTAGGATCTTCGCAGAGGGCTCTACTATAGTTATACTTTTAATTAAACTTAGTTTTAAGCTTAGAATAACAATTTACAAAGTTTGCAGCCTAGTTCTTGCTAACTAGCTTCTAATTGCGGATCTTAAGTAAAGAACTAGCTATCTCTTTAACATTAGCGAGCTTAGGCGGATATCCTTGCTCTACTAGCTTAAGAACATGTTTAATAATTGCTATCTCTTTAGATCCTCGAAGAGCTATTAAGTTAGGCGCGCAATCGCGTTGTTAAGGCGTCCTAGCGAGTCGCCTTTGTAGTGTTGCTTTAGAGACGCTATAGATAGCTCTAGCGCGTTGCGTTGTTAGTAACGCGTCTCTTTAGATAGCCTGTATCGCAAGCTGTATATCTGCTTTGTTTAAGATTGTTTTTACGCTGTTGCGTTAAGGCATTACAACTTAATTAAAGTTTAGTAAGGTCTTAGCAAAAGTGCGTTACTCGCTTAGGTGCGTCACTCGCTTGTGAACTACGTTATAGTAAGTAACGCAACGTAATATTATAAGACGCTATAAGCACGTAGTTTAAGAGCTTACTAGAAGTGTTAACTATAGCTATATACAATATCTAGTGTAATATAAGACGTTGCGTAAGGAAATAGAACTAGCATGTACAGGCGGTAAAAAGTTATTGCCGAGGGGCTGTGCGCGTAGCGCTTAGCTTAGCTAGCTAATTAGCAGAATCTAGGTGCTTAGCAGAGCACCCAGATTCTGTGGCGCGTTTGGTGTCGAGGGAACTACGGTGGTTACCGTGACAAGAACATATAACCTAGTACTGTATAACCTTTAAGAGTCTACTATACAGCCTAGTAAATCTTTTTAAAACGTTGTTTCTTATAATTTGGTATGTATACCTATACTTGCATAACTATACTATGTTTGTTTGCTATGCGTCATCTACATACGGACTTTGCAGGTCTTTGACTTCGTGACCTTCTTATCACTTTCACTTGTCGCAGTGAGAGTTACGGTGGCTTCCTTCGAGCAGCCACTCGCGCAGCCAACAGCGACACTAACTGTCTTTTGCTTTCCTGCCTTTGCGTATGCGAGCGCATTAGGCACCGCGACCTTCCAGCCTTCGCCTTTCACGTCTGCGCTCAGACGGTAGATATCGGACCCAAGGTATTCTGAGAGATCTTGCGGATGGGGGTTCGTGGCCAGTACTGCAGCTTTTCCAGTGTTCTTCAGCTCGAACGTGCAGTAGCTGCCATCAGCAGGACTGGTCGAGTATCCGCTACTTGCGACCTTTCCAGAACCAAGCTCGATACCGTACTGAGCAGATGTCGTTACGTTAGTCGCGGTCGAAGCAACACCCACGTTGTAGTGTAGTACTCCAGCGTCGTCCATGAGCTTTTCGAGAATGTACATGTGCAACCCGTTTTTCTCATCGATGTACTCGTACTCCGAGCCGGAGTCGGTGCCAGCATGGAACAGCGCATCCACTAGCTGTCTGTAGTCTCCAATCGTCCAGTACCTCGCGGTTCCGTTGGGAAGATAAAAGTCAATTTGACGCGCATCCTGTGGGTTCGCATCAATCGTCCACTGGAACGGCTGCACGCGATCGCTGTTTTTGGTCTTGCTAATCATAACGCCTGAGTCGGGGCAGAAAGAATCAGCACCGAGGCGCTGAACGACTTCAAGGTTGTAGTTGTTGTAGCCACGACCGTCGCACAAAGCATCGAGAGTCACGTTGCATGGTGGTGCAAGGTCACCAGCAGCGCCAAAGGAGATGTTGAATCCCATCAGGCTACCAAATGGGTCGACAGAGCGAGCAGTGATCTGCGCGACGATGGGGCCTGAAGCTGCGAGACCTGTGCGAGAGATCTGGAGAATTGGCGTGGTATCAATGAGACCAATTTGATGCTTGTCACGCATGGTGTGTAGAGACCCCATGGAGGCTCCTTGTACGGGTGGTATCTGCCAGCGTGTATGAGGACCTCCAGGTCCGTTAAAGCTACCTCGTGAAAGCATGCTCCAGGGACCGGTGTATGTGCGTCGAGGAGGGTCGCTGAAAGGATTGTTGTAATTGTCGCCAATACCGAGCAGATGCGACAGTTCGTGAGCGAACGTAGCCATGCCACTAGATTCACCTTGGGTTGACGAGCCACCGCCAGCATTTGGCCAGATCGTGGAAGCTGCAGCCCACGACGACCACTCAACATAGCGAGTGCTGGCCCAATTTGGAAGCGTAGAGTTGTCTGGTGGCCCAAACTCCTCTGGGACATCTTCCTTGGAAAGGAACTTCATCTCACCAAACTCTTGCCATGTTGAGGACTCATCTTGGCCAGCAGAAAGGATGAAAGCCAACTCATATGCGTCTGCTGTATCATTGCCAACATCTGCGCGCCATGCTCCGAGCGCATCGGTTCTGAGGTCGACTGAGCATGGTGGGCCTTCAGGGCAAGCGCCTTCGTTGAAACCACCCTCTTCATCGTCAACTCCATATTGGTAGCTTCTTGAGGGCATGCGGTATGGGCCAAAAACAGTTAGATCAACACCATATTTTCCGAAAGAATCACCCATCCAGTACTCGTGAAGCGTGTGGCCTTCGTTGAGATCGCTGGGTACGTTGAGCAGATCGTGGTAGAACTTTGGTACGTCATCGCGGCTCAAGCCAGCCGCAAGAGGCTGAGGGTTACCGAAGATATCTGATAGAGCCGGTAGAGTGACGACGAATGGTGAGTCTGGATAGTCGACGGTCACCATGGCAATGTTGAAGTTTCGGTCTCTGCCCTTGCGTGCCGGATCGGCCCAATTGGTCGTTGGTGGTGCCTTGTAATCTGTTGGAACATCAGTATACATAGAGCATTGTACACGACACGCAGACGTACCATCCCACGTCATATTGTCTGGATTGACCCAGTTTTGAGGATCAATCGGCGTGAACGGATTCGACGGCTGACTCTGGCGGAGAACTACAGCAGAAGCTGCGAAGTCAAGCATCATGCCAATGGCAACTGCCATGGAGGCTTGAGGTCGACTTGGAGCCACCATTGTTCTTCGCGGAATTCTATGAAGTCTGCTGGGCGAAGAGCAGACAGAGTGCACGAAGATCAGGTTCCGAGAGAGTCGAGAGGATGTTATCATATATTCGGAAGCGCACCATCAATATTGGAGTATCTACCGTACCCATTGTGCCGGCTACGTAGGGCAAGACAGAGACCCAAGTAGAATGCATATCCGGCTGCCTCTTACAGCTAGGTCGGTCTGTCCCGCTGGCTTGGCAACCAAACACCTGCTGTTTTTAGCATGAGGGGTTGATATTATTGATAACGGCTTTGCTTGGTCCTGCACAAAGGTCGATCCTGGGCGTGTTTGTGTCCAAGGGGCAGATAGCTTGTGTCGTGCAAGACTTGGTTGTACAAGGCTTACTTGTGCAGCGTCATCGTAGTAAACCCTGCGGAGCTTACCCGCATTTGTGGCGCAAAGCCTCAAAAGCACGTCAGCCTTGACTGGCGGGCACTAGGGACCATTGATGGATTGTGTGGATGATGGCAAATCGCAGCGCAAGAACGCTATATGGCACAATGACAGAGGCTGTAGCTGCGCCGACATGGGTTCGCAGTTCGCGTACATGCGCGTTGCCATTGCGCGCATTCAGCCGAGGTAGCTCGCCAACGCGCTCTTCCTTCCTTTCCTCGACCCATCTGCGCGCGACTCCGATACTACCTAGGTAATGCAATCGCTATACCTAGCTCTTTATCTGAGAGTGCAGCGAGCCTTCACATCTTATGTTTGTCTCAATGCTTATCAGATTTTCTGAACAAGAGTAGAGATTGAGGTGAGAGGCCGACGGACGATGCACAAGTCGGGCTTAAAAGCTTCTTGTCGCTGCCACTGCGCATCAACTTCACACGACCGTTTCGAAAGCTTCGAATGGCTCGCCGCCTCCTTTGAGGCCAAACGACTAGAACCTCCGACACAAAAGGGCGCAGAGGCTGTCTTGTCGCGTGGAACGGTATCGTTTACTCAATATTCTTGTTCTCACTTCCACGGGTCATGTAAGACAAGCACACTAACCTGTTCTAGCCAACAAGATGGCCAAGACTCCTGGAAAACTGGCAACATGCATTATAGCGTATACCCATCCGCTTGAGGTAGTATAAATGCAGGCGTCCAGCTCAGATGCAGTAAGGCCTGCAGCGATACTTGTTCAGCACGCAATGCGTTCGAATCATCCCAATTGTTATTGCGGCTATGTCAGCCACCTAGGAATCTCACTGCTGGACTTGGTCAAGATCGAACATATCAAGGCCATTGCGAACTTATTGCCGCATGCAATACGTCTCCATAATCCAGTTCTTGCATTCTTTTTCCTATAAGACCGACCTTATAGCCATTCGTTTGATGTGCTCAAATCCCAGATGACATTCCGCTTGCTTCTAGCATCTTGATTTTCATTATAGTCTCCTCAAACCGTACCTCCCTAATCTCGTTATATCGTCACAATCATCGACAGCGCAAAAGACAACCATGAGGTCGTACATTCACAACGCCAAAACAGTGATTGCGGTCGTTGGTCTGGCCCACGGTTTCTGTGTAGCTGCGGTGCCGAACGATAGCATGGTATACAGCTTCTCGGAAGTCAGTGACTCTCTTGTCTAGCTTCAGAATCATACACTGAATTCTTTGTGCAGTTGACTGCCAGTCCGGTGCTTGCCTGGACATCCTGTTACGAGAACTTGTGAGCGTCTCCAGCATTCTCAAACTAAACAACACTAACCCCCTTAGCACTTGCGCTCTTCTGGAAGTTCCACTCGACTACGCGGTACCATCCCTCGGTACCCTCAACGTAGCTATCATCAAGAAGCCAGGCCCAACCCATGATGCACAAGAAGTCCTTGTCAACCCCGGAGGGCCTGGTGGCTCTTCCGTAGCTATGGTGCTTTCAGATCACGCCGCTATCGAGGGTAAAATCGGAACCAATTACTCCCTCGTGGGAATCGATCCTCGTGGTGTCAACCACAGCGAGCCCGCTAGCGACTGCTTCGTAGGGTACCCCTTCCAAACCCGTAATGCCTTCCTCTCAGATGCATTAGGTCTCGCGGACGTGACATCGGAGGCAGTCTTGAAGCGACAGCATCAGTCAGCGCTGGCATATGGAAAGTGGTGTACAGGGATGTATTCCGTCAATGGTACTGCAAGATATGCCACCACGGTGGCCACAGCTCAAGATATGCTTCGCTACATCGAGCTTCGAGCACAAGATCGTGGGCAGCCCTCACAAGATGCAAAACTGTGGTACTATGGCATTAGCTATGGATCTATTCTTGGTGCCACTTATGCCAGTCTCTATCCTGACCGTATTGGTCGTATGATCATCGATGGCGTGCTCGATCTGGAAGACTACTATGATGGCGGTTGGGAAGCAGCCATCGATGACACCGACAAAGCAGTCAGCTACTTCTTCAAGTACTGCTTCGAAGCTGGTCCAGCTTTGTGCTTGTTTCACCAGAACGCTACCTCCTGGCAGGAACTCGAAAAACGCTACCAGAGCCTCCTGAGCAATCTCATGTCGTCACCCATTGGTCTAGGCGACCCAACCTCGAACACTTCGATCCTCTTTGCACAAACACAGGGTGTGCTCCTCTCACCCTACGTGCTCACCTGGACTGATATTGTCAGCCAGATGTTCGCATCCGTGTACCTGATCAGTCCGATCTATGTTTACGTTATGGACCTCGTCCTCGTTGCGCTGCAAACGCAGGACGTGGAGTCGCTCGCTGCCATAACAGAGAAAAGTCAGATCAGTACCTTTCGCCCTCAATACGACGACCGCATGGCACGGACACTTGTCTCTTGCGTCGATACGGACGGTCGGTCTGACAAATACACCGATTTTGGAGAATACAAGAAGTTTGTCAACTACATGTATAACCGAAGCAACTCTGGTGGATTCAGTGTGACTGCTATCAATGGGCCGATTTGTAGCAAGCTGGACGTGCGGCCGCCTGTCAGTCAAAAGTTTGACGGAATACCACGAGTGAACGGTACAAGCGCGCCGATACTATTCGTGAGCTCTATCGCCGATCCCATTACACCTCTTTCATCGGCGAAGAAGATGCATGGCCTATTCCCTGGCTCCGGGCTTCTCACTTTTAACAACAGCGGTGTAAGTGATTTGTTGACATGACCTTGATACCCCTTTCCTCTAGTTCTTACAACTTGGGCTACTCGATGCTGACCGGTAGTTGCAGCATACAGCGCACTTTCAGAATGTGACATGCGTTTCTGAGTACGAGATGCAGTATATGCTCGACGCGAGTCTACCCCCTCCAAACACAGTGTGCGAAGTCAACGAACCAAACCCTTGGAAACAGCTAGGGGATATACTTAATGCCACGCAATCGTCGCTGGGGTTGAATGGCATGTGAAGGCGTGGATGATCTGTAGCGGAATCGTGTTCATCCCCATGCCTTGGTATTTCTGTAACTTAAATGCGAGCCTGTGAATGAATCAGATTCAGTATTGTACTATGTATATAAGTGATACGGGCTAGACAAAGGAGGTTTCGTAGTGTTTAGTCATACCTTTGCTGAGACAAGTTCCAACACGCCCTCCCGTGCGAGGACTGGAACGCTCGGGTCTGCTGAGTCCGCATATCTGAGAAGTACAATTGTAACCGTGTCCAGGTTCATGTCAGATAGTTCTTTCATTGCAAATTTGTCGGAGTAGAAATCAATTGACTTGTCGAGATCTGCCACTCGAAAACCGACGTGGTTGAAACCAAAACCCTTAGTAGGTTGCCTAAATGCCATCTTTTGCGGATTTGATTAACGTGCAACGAATGTCTTATTTGTTTGCTAGACTGAACTATTTTGGTATTGTTCTTATATTGTATCCAGAATCGACTTTCGTCCGTCCTACTCCTTTCATCACTAATACTCGACAAGCATTTAGTTCTGGTACCTACCAAACACCAAATGCACGAATGGATACCTGCAAGAAGCTCAGATAACATGACTCCAGATCGGTAGACTAGGTATGTCAGCGCCGGCAGGAGGTTCACTCCGCTGCCGTTAAAAGCTCTCACTCCACTTCCGTTAGCTCCTAGATCATGAACGTCCGAGAGTCATGCTCTTTATCCTTAAGTTTGTAATATTCTCATTCTCTTGTACATATGAATAGCCCTTATCTTGTTCTCACTATCGAAAGGGCGTCCGCATTGAGTTTCTCGGAATGAATGTTCTGGCCATCATGTACTTGGAACACCCGGTCGGCAACAGAAGATTATTCGACCCTGTAACAATAACAAGCAACCGCTTTGTCAGAGGCGCAAGACCTGGTGTAACTGAACGGGAAAGACTAGTAGATTTTCGCGCGAAAGTATCGCATTTCTTCATATCGCATCAGTACTGCAGTAAAGATTGGTAAGCTGTAGTCTTGTCTAGCGTAAGCAGAGCTCAAGCCATGACCAAGACCATGACTAGCAACTCTCTTCCGAGGTGACTCAACCCCGGATTGTGATATCAGAAGGTTACAGTGAGGTCGTAAGCATTATTCATTTCTATATTTCATGTCGTAACTTTTCTGTCGGAGGAGACGCAGCCAGATGAAAAGTTCTATACCTCCTTCTTGGGAACACCACCAGGCAGAGTCTGTACCTTCTCCTGGAATAGCTTCTCTGCGCCTTGCCAGACTGGCGTGGTCGATCGGTCCTTGAGGGCCATCAGGCTGGGCAGCAGAGCATTGCTGAAAGCCTCTGATGATTCGCGGGGTAGGGCAGACGGAAGGTGGTCGATGGAGATGACGGACAGCTTGGGACCATTACCCTCGACAGAGACGTCAACTGTGGGCTTGTCAAAGGTAGTGTTGATATCGTAGATGGGAATAGGGTTGTGGGGGTTGGTGGTGTCACATGAAACATCGCAGACGACGCTGAGTCTGCGGTCTGGTGACTTGAGGCTCTCCTTGTTGACAAAGGGTGGAATGGGCTTGGAGAGGTAGATGCAGTTGACGAAGATGTCCGACTCGACAATCTCTGGGTAAGGACCGTCACGCTCCTTGGTCTCAGCCAGATCCCACTTCTTAATCTCGGGGCAGCCGATCTTCTCGAGCAGGTCGACAGCACCAGAACCACATCGTCCAAGGGCGCCTAGTACCAGACTAGTGGGCTTGTGACCAGCAACCTTCTCGCCAGCTGCGACATCCTCCTTCAGCTGGGTGATCAACTCGCTCTCGTTGTTGTAGTATCCACGGCCTTCGGTGAAGGTCTCGAGACCTGGCAGAGGTTCGCCGTTGGGGTGAGTGAGCTGCCATGCCCATGTCTGACAGTAGTTAGTATGGGGAGGGGGTAACAGCATGGTTCCTTCCTGGACGTACCTTGATGGCTAGAGCGGCTCCAACGAAACCGGCGTGGTAACCAAAGGCAGCAACGCGCCTGCCTGACTCATCCTGCAAAAACTCGAGGTCATACAGGGTGCCTCCTCCGCGGGGGAACCTGGCCAAGACCTTCTCCCAGCCGCCCTGCTGCTTGTAGCAGTGTGCAAAGTGTACAAAAGTTTGCTCGAGGGGGAATTCGTCTTCGGGAAGTTCTTTCAAACCGATGATGATGCGGTTGTCCTTGGGCGCGTTCTTGTATGCGCCCTCCTCGATGAGGGTTGCGCCTGCCTGTTCGAACTCCTCGTCTTTGAAGATGCGGGCATAGTTGGGGTCTTTGGGTGAGCGCTCGACAAGCACGGGGTAGCCAGCATCGAGCAGCTTCTTGGCGGTGGTGGGAGTGAGGCTGCGGGCATTGGTGAGTAATGTACATGCGCGGAGTTTATGTGTATACCTACCACGAGCGATGCTCGAGAGGTTTGGCCTCTGCGCGGGCATGGAGTGTGGGGAAGGACATTGTGTGCAACGGGCAATTGGAAGCGTGTCTTGTCGGTTCAGGACTGAAGGAGAAATTCAAGATAGATATTTGTTTGCTTCTTGCAGTGCTGGAGAGTCTAACGGAGACCGGAGTATTGACAATGGTCGGCGCGGACTGAAGCAGCCCACGATGACTCCATGGCCAATTTGGCCGGAGGCTCCAAAATCGAGCTCCGAGAACGGCGCTACTGCAGGGCTGCTGCCGTCGATGCTAGCCATTCAGCGGCGCCGCGATGACATAGCCAGATGTGAGCCGTCTGGGTCTTGGGGCGGGTGCAGCAGCAGGACATTAGTGGGGCACGTGCATTGCTCCATGGGCGCTGGGCCGACAATGGAAGCTAGGTAGGATTCTCTGCCGGCGTTGAAAATGACCTGCTGCTACACGACATCCATGCTCTTCTCTCGCCCATCCTACCTCGGGAGCGCTATGCTTCACGCTGAGAAAAGCTCGCTGTGTCTGTGCCTGTGCCGTCCCCCATAGCCGCCTGCTGCTGTCCATAGCACGGCCATTACCCTCACTCCGATTCGCTGCCTTGTCTGTCGCACAGCATGGCTTCACATTCGCGCGACTCCTCAAATGCGAGTGCCCGCCACGCCCACGCTCCTTCGACGCCTAGCCAGCTTCGCCAGGCCCATGTGCCCTCGGACAGGTCCAGCTCGCCCGAGGAAACCATGCACCCCCGCCGCTACTACGACGACGACGAGCCCCAGCCCTCCAGCAGTCAAGCCCCCCACGACCTCGACTTCTCCGCCCAAGGCATTCAGCCTTCGACAGATGCCACGTCAATCCACTCAACCCACGAGAACGTCGATGCCCCGGGCGGCATCATCGAGATCGATCTCGAGCCCACGGCGCGCACCCGGCTGCTGAACCAGCAGAACTTGGAAGGCTTCAACCGGGGTGATGCGAGGCCGTCGGCGCATCGCAACTACGGCAGCTTTGCGGGCAGCATACACTCGGAACAGAGCTTCGGTCGCGCCTTCCCGGGCATACAGGAGACGCCAGAGGATAGCGAGCCAGACGAGGCGCACGCGCTGCTGGGCGACGCCTTTGCCGACGGCGTCCTGAACAAGAAGAATGGGCAGAAGATGAGCACAACTCGGTGGCTCGCCGAGCGCCATGGTATCAAGCATAAGCGCATGATGTACCTCAAGTACTACATCCCTGTCCTCAACTGGACGCAGCAGTACAAGTGGCGCTACTTCAAGGGCGATCTTGTCGCAGCCATCACCATGGCCTCGTTCTACATTCCCATGTCGCTCTCGTACGCCTCGAACCTCGCCCACTTGCCGCCCGTCCATGGTCTCTACAGCTTCGCCCTGAACCCCCTCATATACGCTGTCCTAGGTACCTGTCCGCAGATGATTGTGGGTCCTGAAGCGCCTGGCTCGCTTCTAATTGGCGAAATCGTGCGTGAAAACATCAAGAAGGGAACCACCGGAGACAACGACGGCAGGCGCAATGCTGAGATTGCTGGCATTGTGACGTGCATGGCTGGTGCTTTCATTCTCATCGCAGGCTTCTTTAGACTTGGCTTCCTGGACAACGTTTTGAGCCGGCCCTTTCTGCGAGGCTTCATCAGCGCCATTGGTGTTGTCATTTTCGTGGATCAGCTCATTCCTCAAATTGGGCTTGCCAGACTGGCCGCTGACCAGGTGTCGCACGGTAGCTGCGTGGACAAGGTCGTTTTCCTCTTCCGCAATATCGGTCGTGCACATGGGCTCACGTGTGCCATGTCCTTTACGGCCTTTTTCATCATCATGTTCTTCAGGTGCGTTCCAAAGTACTGTCTTCATTCCACCTCAACTGACAAACGTGCAGAGAGTTCAAGAAGCGTTTGCAGCCACGATACCCAAATGTCGCATATATCCCCGATCGTTTCGCAGTTGTCGTACTATCTGCTCTGCTTACCTGGAGATACCGTCTAGACCAACAGGGGCTCGCCGTTCTTGGAGATGTAAACTCCAGCGCCAAGATATTCTCCGTCCACTTTCCCTTTGAGACGTCGCATCTCAAATACATATCAGACGCCATCAACACCGCATTGATCATTGCTATGCTTGGTTTCTTCGAGTCCTCGGTTGCCGCCAAGTCCTTGGGTAGTGGTGACCTGAACAAGGATGGTGTTCAGATGCCCCTGAGTGCGAACCGGGAGCTCATCGCCTTGGGAACAGCAAACATCACTGGCGGATTGTTCATGGCACTCCCGGCCTTCGGTGGCTATGGCCGTTCCAAGGTTAACGCATCCACGGGTGGGTTGACTCCTATGAGTTCAGTGCTGCTGTCTATCATCACCATCCTGTGCACTGTCTTCATGCTACCATACTTCTACTACCTGCCCAAAGGCGTTCTTTGCGCCATGGTCTCCGTTGTAGCATATTCGCTTGTCGAAGAAGCACCGCATGATGTCAAGTTCTTTCTCAAGATTCGAGGCTGGTCGGAGCTCATCCTAATGGGTCTTATTTTCTTCATCACCATCATCTGGGACCTGAAGCGGGGTATCGGAGTGGGTATTGGTCTTTCCATCCTACGCTTGATACGTCATTCAGTGCGTCCGCGCATCCAAATCTTGGGTCGTGTGCCAGGAACTACGAACCAATTTTCTAATGCCGAAAATCACTCAGGAGATGTTGAGTTCATTGAAGGGTGTCTCATCGTCAAGATACCAGAACCCCTGACCTTCGCCAATACAGGAAATCTCAAGACCCGTCTCCGCCGCCTCGAGGACCACGGTACTGACAAGGCGCATCCTGCTCTCCCCCGTGTTCGCCGCGCAGAGCACAACAAGAACATCATCTTCGATGTACATGGCGTCACATCGCTCGACGGTGCTGGAGCTCAGGTCCTGGCTGAGATTGTCGAGTCATACAGAAGCAGGGAAGTCAGAGTCTTCTTCTGTAGAGTTCCAAAAGTGTCTAGCCCAGTCTATCAGCTGTTCGACAAGAGCGGTATCGTTGAGATGTGCGGCGGTCCAAGGCATTTTGTACAGAGCGTTGAGGAGGCACTTCGCATGACGGAACTAGAGCGATTGACAGAGGAATTTGCCAGCTCCGCAGAAGGGTCGAGAGCTGCATCCAGTCGAGCTTAAGTCTTCCGATGCATTTATCTTTTGTTCTATGAGCGATGGAAATGAGCGTGTTAGCACTGCATCTGAGGGTATGGGCGTATTGCATTAGCGATCTGCTACGATTAGACTTTGTATATGTTTTTGAGCATGATTTGGCGTTGTGGTATAGTTATGACTCTTGGTGTCAATTGTGAAAAGCATGTCTGTTCAAGTACCATCGTCCCTAGTTCCCAGTGCGTTCGACACCCCCCAGGCGTCCCAAAGAATCAGAAAACATAGCAACTTTGCCGAGCATCGCTCCGAACCCGGACCGTCGGTATTACATCTATTTCCGTATGTGCAAACGCTCGGTACGTCGCACATGCGATCCATTTCTCCGTTCTCAACATCGTGCCTGTGTCGCAATGGAGCGAAGTCCGCTACTGAGTGCACCCGAATGCACCCGAATTCAAGTAGGAATCATGGCGGTCTCGCCTTACCTTGATCACAGTCAGGGCTGTGGTGCTGGAAAGATTCCAGATTCTAGATTCCGTATGCGACGTCTCGGGTTCCCCAGGTGCGAGGATAAGTCGGTGTGGAGCAGACATCGCTCGTGCCACTCGCCTAGAACGGTGCCATTTTTCTTCTACGCTATACTGTGCAGACAATGCTCGCGTCATGACGGACACGCAATGCCAGCGAAGCGTACTTTGAACAGTCATCCATAGCATGAACGTTGAACAACATTTTAAACCTTATGTGCTTGCATTATTCTGCCCTCTGGAACGTCCTGCACATCTAAGAAGCAACACCGTTGGACCTTTGGCAGCCCAAGCCTTTGACGTTGACCAAGCTTTTCGGCGGCCTTCAGCAAAGCTTTTCTATGCCGTGGCTTCCTAGCCAAGCGACGCTTATCACCTCTTGACCACTCTTAGCACGCAGTAGCCCCTGTCGTATCGCGCCCCCATGTCGCGTGCTAACCCTCCAAGGATCGTGTTGCCGCCCTCCGCAAGGGTACTATTGGACATCAAAGGCATATGCGGGGTTGCGGGGACGTCATGAGGATGTTGAGGATGCATTCACGGGTGGTCGCATTGGTTGTCAGTAAGCACGCATTCGGCAAGTCGGACGATGATCGGGTGCATGCCTGACGTGATTAAAGAGAGCGTCGTGCCCGCAAAAGGCCGTATCTGTTTGACTTCCTGCTGACCATTCTGTGGGAGGTGTCGATCTGTTTCGCTCCGCCTCGCTTTTCTGAGCAGTCCGATATCGTCCATTACCGCCATGTCGGACGAGAAATACGACACTACTGAGCAGCGTGAGTACGCGCCGCCGGCTCCAAAAATGACGGCTGGTCGCTACATCGCCACGCGTATTCCAACTCTCAAGCCTGCTCATGATAAAGTCGCCAACCCGATCGCCCTACTGCGCTTGCTGAATCTGCAACAATGGCTCTTCTTTCTAGTCGCGTTCTTCGCCTGGACCTGGGACGCCTTTGACTTTTTCACCGTGTCTCTCACAGTCACGGATCTTGCCGAAACATTTGGAAAGACCAAGGCCGACATCACTTGGGGTATCACACTGGTGCTCATGTTGCGCAGTGTGGGTAGTATCATCTTTGGTCTGGCGGCGGATCGCTATGGCAGGAAATGGCCTTTCATCGTCAACAATGTGCTCTTTATCATCCTCGAGCTTGGTACCGGATTTTGCTCCACCTACAATGAGTTCCTAGGAGTGAGAGCTTTGTTCGGCATTGCCATGGGTGGATTGTATGGTAACGCTGCTGCGACTGGTACGTATCATCTCCCTCTTTCAAACCGTCTGGTCGACTAACACGACTGCAGCTCTTGAAGACTGCCCTGAACAAGCTCGTGGTATCATTTCCGGGATGCTACAGCAAGGATATGCGTTCGGCTACTTGCTTGCCACTGTCTTTGCCCGCGCCTTCGTAGATACCGTCGGTCACGAATGGAGACCACTATTCTGGTTTGGTGCTGGCCCGCCCGTCCTAATCATTATCTTCCGACTTTGTCTCCCTGAGACGCAAGCCTACCTCGAGCGCAAGCGAATCCGCGAGGAACAACCTAACGCGGCCAAAGTGTTCGCCCAAGAAGGCAAGGTAGCACTAAAGCGCCATTGGCTTCTACTTGTTTATCTTGTGTTGCTGATGGCGGGCTTCAACTTCATGTCTCATGGAAGTCAGGACCTTTACCCGACAATGCTGAGCAACCAATACAACTTCTCAGCCAACAGGGTTACCGTCACACAAGTAGTCGCCAACCTTGGCGCTATGACTGGTGGCACCGTCATCGGATATAGTTCGTCTATCTTCGGTCGTCGCATCAGCATAATTGTCATGTGTGTTATCGGCGGCGCTCTACTCTACCCCTACACATTTACCTCTAGCAACGCTGTCATTGCAGCAGCCTTCTTCCAACAGTTCTGTGTCCAAGGCGCTTGGGGTGTCATTCCCATCCACCTCATGGAGCTGTCTCCGGGATCATTTCGAACGTTCGTTGTCGGTACATCATATCAACTTGGTAACCTCGCGTCGTCTGCTTCATCGACCATCGAAGCGACGATTGGTGAGAGATTTCCACTTCCGCCCAAGGGCCATACGAGCCGCTACAAGTATGGTCTGGTGATCTGCATCTTCATGGGCTGTGTGTATGCGTACGTTATCTTGCTCACGGCATTGGGTCCGGAATACAGAGGAAGGAACTTTGACGTGGCTGCTGATGAAGATATGGCGGTGGTGACGGGGGCAGATGAGGGCAAGTATGTTGCGAGACAGGATAGCGACGTGGAGACCAGAGGACATGTGTAGAATTCGCGTATCATAGTTTGCAGTTTCGCAGAGTTATGATTGAGTTCAAACAGAGAAGATACAATGCCCATAATGTCTCGAAGATATTGTAAACCTCCAAACCCGGTTTTGTGTGTTCGTGTAAGAGCGGCATCGAGACCCGGCATTGGCAAGCTCGGTTGGCCTGCATGCCGAGTTTACCATATAGAGAATCAACTCCTGCCTTTGTAAGCGTGTGATCGTCTCTCATAAAATGTAAAGTGCCCGATCCATGGCGATGACGTGGGTAATTTGGACATTTTAAGCAAGCTTAGTGCTGCTATTGGTCGCAATCCAGATCGGAAGTGGCATCCGTCTCTAGCGTTGTGCTACCTACAGCAGCCTGCCACACCAAATATATTGTGTTCATCTTTCGCAATCTATGCAAGACTTGGCTTCACCCAGTGAACTTTCGCTTACCATCTTCTCGAGCTCAAGGTTCGGGTCTTTCATGATGTTGACGGCTCCTTTGACGTTATTGCCGGTGGGTGTCTCGTAGCGAATGAGCAAGCCCATGGCGCACGACAAAGTATATATCTCGCTCGGGAGTGTACGATATGCCGATACCAACTGCATATTCATTGCATCTCATCTCGACGATCAGTCAAAGTTCTTGCCAAGATGAAAACATCCGTCGTTCTACTCGCTGCCGCTTCTTTGGCCAGCGCTCACTGTACGCTCTGTTGCACTACGTATGTTCTATCATCCAAAGCTAACTATTCGAAGACACGCTCCCAAGTGTCAACGGTGACTCAGCCTGGTCTCATGTCCGCCAAGCCAAGAACTGGCAAGACAATGGATTCGTTGGTGATGTGACTAGCAATGACATTCGCTGCAACCAGCTCAAGGCCGGTACATCAACTCTCAGTGTTGCTGCTGGCTCGAATGTCAAGGTCAGCGTCAACCCCAACGCGTACCACCCTGGACCCTTCCAGTCATACCTCGCCAAGGTACCGGAAGGTCAGGACATCAACAGCTGGGACCCTACTGGCGCTGTTTGGTTCCGCATCTACGCCGAACAACCCAAGTTCGGTTCTCAGTTGACCTGGCTGAGTAAGTGACGTGCATTTCCATCCTTGTACTAACGTCTACTGACTTCTGTGCGCACAGGTGCTGCCAACTACGACATCAAGATCCCCCAATGCATTGCACCCGGAAAGTACTTGATGCGCAACGAGCACATCGCCATCCATACCGCTCAGAGCAAGGGTGGGGCACAGTTCTACCTTTCTTGCGCACAACTTGAGGTTACTGGTGGTGGCAGCAAGGCACCCTCGAACCTCGTCGCCTTTCCTGGCGCGTACAAGGCTACCGACCCGGGTATCTTGATCAACATCAACTACCCAATTCCCACTAGCTACACCAACCCTGGCCCCCCTACCTTCACTTGCTAGGTCCCTTCTATGGGCGATGAGATCGGCAACTGATGTGTATTAAGTGTGACGGTGGAAATAGAGAGTACGGACCGTAGCCAGGATGTAGATAAACTTCCAATATATATTTTGGCCATTCTGAAAGTATCGAGAGACAGTGTGTATCAAGATTTGCCAATGAACTGAAGTATCCATCACTAAATTTCAGCTTACTCCGACCGAGCTGGTGCCTTATCCTTTCCCATAACGCATATACCACCGAATTGCTTCACCTGGACGTGGCGCACTGACAAGAAGAAGAGCATACTCTTCAACCACCTTAAATAGCATGAAAGCGACTCGCCAGCTCCTCGGGATCGTACATCTTGGTAGTCGCCCTCTCCATCTCATCCGCGACATACTTCCAAAAGTTGCGCTCGCACTTTGCCACTGCTTTCATGAGCTGCTCAGTCTTTTCTACCTCCTCCAGACCTTTATCCTGTAGTTCTGCAGTGACTGGCTGCCGGACGTTGGCTTTGAGCTCAGTCGCGTTGTCGTAGTCTTTGATGCGCTTCTTACCCGCCTTGCTGATGACTCCTGTTCCTTGAGCCTGAGTGTACTTATTCGGATTGCGAAGGTGCATGTAATCCTTTGGGTCAAAACCGATCTCGCCGATGGATGTCGCAATGCGAGGTGTATTACGGACATAGCGACTGTAGACGGCCGTTTCTGTAAAGATAGCTGCTTCGCCCTTGTTAAGGCGCTCCTGGTTGAGGTGGTCGACGATCTCGTTCCAAGACCACTTTTGCTCTTGACGTAGACTCTTTATAGCGACGTTTTCAGGATCTTCGTCGTCGTTTCGGCGTGTGCTGACCTTTTTGTCTTCAGGCGTGAGGACGGAGATGTTCTTCTCGATCTCACTTTTGATTACCCGGGCGCGCTTGAGACTGTCCATATTGATTCAAATGGGTGTATGTAGAATTTGGATGCTAGATTTGTCTTTATTCTCGCGTTCAATCAGTGGACCTTCTCGTTCCCATCCGTAGATTGAAATTAAATGGGTGTTGTGGAGAGAGAAAATGAGGCTTAGTGGACGCCTGAGCATCTCAAATAATAGTCCATCCAGGTAGCTTTTTTACAACTCACCTTCACTCCGATAGCGAGTTGCAAGTGAAACAATTTTATAGGGTGTAGGTAGGTATCGAGAGCTGTTTGTGGTGCGAGCTTAATGCAACGAATCACTGAACCGCACATGACCATGGTAGTGTATGATCATCGTTAGGCACTCGGTGTGCCAGTGAGTTGCAGCGATTTCGCGTCACTCATGTTAGGGCAAAGAAGAAAGGAACTCAAAACTGAAACACCACGAATTAGATTCAACTACAGGTCCACCGACTCATTAAAAGTAAAACAGAATACTAATTTTCTTCTACATGCTGATCTAGAAGCATGTTCTCAGAACTACTGCCCAGCGCGAAAGCCAAATTAAAACCAGGTGAATTGTATTCAGCTGATGGTTAGGGTATCTCCGATGGTAAGACTCAAGGTCTTTATTCCTACTTGTATTGCGCCGAGTGATAGAGGGCATCCGCGTGATTCAGGTCTCGCTTCGCCTTCTCCTCTGGTGATTCCGTTTTCTTCGACTCAACAGCCTCCTTCGACCGCTTGTGTGGGAGTATCGATCGAAGCAGGGATTTTGTGGATGCCATTGTTGTATTTGACGTTGTTGATATGGCATCGCTCTTGGATGGTGTGCTTGAGCTAGCTCGGTTGGCTGATGTCATGGTCGAGAGTGTGGTATGTCCGCCGGTCTCCGTTTGTTCGATGATAGCAGGTGGTGAGCTTCGGGTGAATCAAGGTGGATGTGAAGATGCTTCGAGAGATGAGGTTCAGAGAAATATATAAAGTCTTGATAATTGTGATGCTGTGCGACGCGTAGATGTTTGCTTGCTGATGGTCGACAACAGTGAAACCATTTCCTCATTCTTATGCTCGTGGTTGGACCATGGAAGAAGCATCACTGTAAAACATTGGGCAGCACAGTCATCAGCTCCATTACCAAGCTCTCATGGCGCACAGCACTCATGCACCGTTGGCGTTTTCTCGTGCCATTCCCATTTCTGTCCGCAGACCGACCAGCCGCGCCAGTACGTACGTAAGTACGATGCATGTGAGTCAAGAATGTTATAAACATGTGTATTGGAAGGGCGTGTCGCTTTTTCTTACTGCGAATAGTCAAGGTTGAGGCAGGGTGGAAGAATGTAGAAGGGCTGAGCCATGGTTGAGTCAAAATGTGGGTCCGGTGATTCCATGAAGGGCCTAGTGCGTCAATCGGTTGTCCCCACATCTATCCGGCAATATTGTCACTCTTCGCATACCTCGCATTCTGGTCTCAGCAAACACATTGAGGAGCGCTTGAGTCATCATCTCGTTGCGCAACAACGTGATAGCAATGTACAAAGTCATGCTTGCTGATAAAGGTCACACGCCCTCAATTGGCACCAAGCCATCGCAACACTCGCGAATGGAATGCGATCGCTTCGTCACAGGATAGGTGTAGCCGCGCACGGTCCCTCAAGAAGCAGCTAACATATATATTGATTGGTCATCTACCGATATCGCTCTCTACGCCTTCCAACGGAAAGCAGTAGAGTTCTTCTCAGCAAACGTAGACCCAATCTCACCCCACTTGATCTGGCTAAAGGTGACTGTAGGTGCCTTCTCGATCTGTCGGATAGCCTCTGGGAAGCCCTCAGTCGCGTTGCAAGGACCAGCACCGTTCACAGATCCATCGAGCCATTGCATAGCACCACCCTCATCCCACCAGATGCTCAGCGCGAGAACCATACCGCGGGCCATTGCGTCACCCATACCCTTGTGGCCACCAAGCTTGGTGTACATCTCGGCGCCGGGCTGAGCAGAGCAGTACTCCTGGTCCATGGTGATGTTCTGCATGGCGTTCTCGATGACAACACCGTCCTGGACATACTTTCGCACGATAGCCTGGAGAACGCCATCCTTGGCTGGAAACTGGGTGACAACGGTGAAGGGCTTAGTGGTGTCGACCTTGAGGCCAGGACCATAGTAGTCTGGGGAGTTTCTGTGCTTGTACGGGTTGTCTCCGCATCCGTTCTTGTCGCACAAGCCAGCCTTCCCACACTCGTCGCCGGTGCAACCGAAAACACCGGCTGTACTGCAAGTATGAGGCGCGATTTGGTTGGCACGAGAGTTGGCCTCCCAGATATCCATCTCGTTGCAGCAAACACCTTGTCCCTTAACGTTTCCCTACGAAAAGTCAGAAACGTCAAAAGAAGGGGAGGTTTGTACTTACTACACCATTGATCCAAGGAGTGACGTAGCACTGAGCATCGCAGTATCCCGTACCATAGGCGGCACCGCCTGGGTTGAGCTGAGAACGTCCGCCATCAGCTTCCATCTCGCTGAGATATAAGGCGCCGTTCATGCCGCATGGCAGCTTCGACATGTCGACATCAAAGGCCAACTCGTTACCCGTGAGTTGCAACATCTCGTAGTTCTCCTCGTCCTCCGCGAGAACATAGACCCTAGGGCTCGCGGCTCCGCCACTGGGGTTGTACATGTCCAAGCGGAGCTCTCCATCGTTAGTGTACACACCCATCGTTGAGTAGTCTTGAATGCCTTCCATGATGCAGTTCTTGGCGCACGTTTCCTCATCAGGGCAGGCTGTTGGATCAGCTCCACTTCCCCAGCTTCCGCAACCCAGTGTTGAGTTGCCTTTCTGGTGAATCCAATGGGCCGCTGAGTCGGTGACGACAGCAGTGTTCTGAGATTTGCATCCTCCAGCCTTGGTGCACTTCCAGGTGGTAAGCTTGGGGTGAACTTCCGGTGTGCTTCCTGGTGTTTGAGCAGTGGCTAAACCCAAAAGAGCAGCGGCAACGAGAGCGTAAGGTGCCATTGTGATATGACCAAGAGAATGTGATGTTGAGAGAGTGAGGTGCAATGCATACAGGCAAGCAAACTCAGAACCTATATATACCTACATCAGTAATCAAGTGAAGCCAAAGGGTCTTCCCGTGTCAAAGGTCCTGTATGCACATAGTAATTTAGGATACCGCGGACCACCAGAGCCGCAATATCACGAGTAGAGGAGCCTCAATGTAGTAAACATCGTCAATGAATCTGGCGGCTGTGTCTGTCATTGGCTGCAAGCTTGGCCTCGGCCTCAATACCAAGGCCGACTTTGTTTCGGACCCTCGCTGTGAGAAGTCGACATCGCAAAACGATCCGGAAGAACATGCATAGAACATTCATCAATATATTTGAGACATTGCTATTTGTTCAAATAAATTGCATTTGATTACGGAACCCCAGATGGAGGTTGAACACGGGGCATTTACCCGGTGTTTACTCGGCGCAAAAGAGCTTTACTTATACAAGCAGGTGCGAGTGACTTTGGCATGCCTCTCACGTCTACAAGACCACCGGTACTGCGCCGCGGAGCGCGTAGCTGCAAGCCGCGACTGCAAGCATGGAACCAAGGCAATGCGTGACTGGGAAAACTAGCCTTGTTTAAGGGCCAGCGGTCCGACACCTCTGGTATACCGCGGCACGGGACTCGTCCAAATTTCTTCTCTTCAATGCGCCCTTTGACGACGTCCATCTCCGCAAGCCTTTCGTGAAGCGATCTTGCTCAGCTCCATCTTCCCTTTCGCCCAACTATCTCTTCCACATAGACCATGCCTGCCCATCATGTCCTTACCGGACCTATGGTCAAGGGAGGCCCACAGACGTGGTACTAGCGATGAGACAGTATTCAGGAGCCCGATGCAGCGACTCTTGTGCGCACACTTGAGTTTCATATTCGTCAGTTCCCTGATTTTGCCACAGCGGCAGAACAATGACTATCACACTACGTTCTTGTCGTGCCTCGTTGATCGGATTCGAGATTAACAAGAGTAGATCGATCATCTCTAGATCTCCTTGAGCCGTGTACGATTCGTGATGGCCCTGTGTGCGACTGTGCACGTCTTGGCCAGCTCTTCCATGAATTATCGGTCGGATGCCCCCGGATGCTGGTCGGATATGAACCAGGAAGATACGAGCTTGTCAGGGCGCTCCTCTGTCGCCGTATCTCAAGGGAGGGTTTCCTTGTGCCTGAGGAAAGGAAGCCAATCTTTTGTCATGGCTGACATATCGAAATGACGTTGCATCCGTCGCTCGCTGTTGCACGGAGAGATATCTGAGTAGCAGTCGAGTAATGGAAAGAATGTAACGTTTCGGATGTCGGGTAGGATGTTGGGGTATATCGACTGTCCACTTTTGCCCAGCAGAGATTGTCGCATGAGCTAGTCCGATAGGGTGGCATTGCTGCCCAGTTAGGGCAGTATCCACTTATCGGGGCATTAGTCAGTGGGTCTTCGTCATGGTGAAACTCCCAAGAAGCATCCCTGCTCCGCAGTAGTGCCGAGAGAAGTTCTAACGCTCTACGCATGCCAAATTAGGGCACACCTGACCGACGCCCCTAGCTCTCCGCATTTGCGAACGTTGACGGGATTGCCGTGCCGACACCATCAAATGCGCCACGGCATCTAGACTGGCCAACAGGATTACATTGCGACCCTTCCTACATGTAAACCTAAATATGAGAAGGAAAGCAAAGTCTTAATCATTACTTCTGGCAGCAGTGGCCTACGCGCACCTCAAAAGTCGGGTCGCTATGTATCCCTACAAACGGTCTCACTTCGGTGACGTCCGGTTAGTGCCAAAGCTGTGAACCCATCCGGCCATGTTCTTTGGCCAAAGTTGGACAAGGAATGCCGGATATTGATTTGCTGGTGACATTCACAGAAGACTCCGAGAGCCCACCCTATCCAAAATATGCGAGTCGACTATAGGCTATATTGCATATAGAAGAGCCAATACAAGGTCGGAATGATTTTTCTTCGTTTTTGTCGTTGTTTTTTGTAGAAATGTCGCTGCTTATGGGTACGCAGCCAATGAACGCCTATATAAGGCCTGACGCCATCATAGACCGCTACAGTCTGGAATCTGATTTCGAATTGTAGTCGAAAGCCACTTCAAGCATATGTTCACTACCGGGGAACTGGAAGCACTTTGTGTAGCGTGGAGGCGGAGGTTCGGCACGGCACGGGGAAGCTGCCATTGATTGCTAGAGTTTGCCTCCCACATCTAGTTTTGACGGCGCGCATGTAGTAGCACTTTTCGGAGGACAGCACAAGTATGAACGCGCAAGCCCGCAGAATCTTTTCCTCCTCTGGATGATGAGGCCAAGCGAAGCTGTCAGAACACGGAACGGTTCGTGAACCCTGGATACCCGCCAAAACACGGCACTTGAATCTGCATGTACATCCTGCAAAGCCTTGACACTTCAAGGTCCAAAAGCAGTTTGACATGGAGTCTGATCGACCTCTCTCCTTTCGCTCCTTCGGGCAAGGCAGGCCTCGTCGGAGCTCCTTCCACGCCACAAGCGTCGTCCTCGACGCTGTGACGTTGACGCTTGCATGATCCCGAACCCAATTTGACTCGCTAAAAGCTCCCGACTCAAGCGTCCGCTGCACGCCTCATAATTGCAACCACCATATCCTGACAAAAGTAGCGAGTAACTTTCCATACTTGGGATTTAGCTGAGCACTAATGGCCACTTGGATTTCTTTTGGCAGCAGAGTGGCTGCAAGTTTTGCCCAGGCACCACCTGACAGTCCCCTTATTTGCATGGTTAAGGCTTAGTGAAGCACGTTGCCGATCTTCCAGTGCCTGGCCATATCGCTCTGCCCCACAAGGAACCTGGCTCGAACAGTAACCTGTGTCGACTACCGTCGCAAGGATACCCAGAGGAGCGTCGGTTTTCTTGCTAACAGTATTCTAGCGTTCGCAGTGCCAGGAGAGACACGGCTCGGAGAAAGTGTTGAGACGTCTGTGAGGCAAGATCGTCGACGAGGGGAAGCTACAGATGTCAAAAATACAATATGCTGAGAGTTTGTGTTCGAACCGTGGTTTTCCAAACTCTTAAATCCTCCTCTTCGCCTACATAACCTTATTTTGACGATTCGCACCGACGCACCGCCGAGTATGGAGGACCGAAGTGGTTCGGTGTTGGCGATAGCCATCACATTCATGATCTTAGCATGGGTCACTGTTGGACTTCGGTGCTATGTCAGGTATGATCCACCTTGAATTCACGTTTCTGACCGCAATACTGACCGAAGATGTAGGATCTTTATGGTCAAAGGCTTCGGCATCGACGACCACTGTATGGTCGTTACCCTCCTCTTCTTCACAGGATATCTGGCATCACAAATCGGCGGCGCAGTCCATGGCACAGGCGTGCGACGTGAGAAACTTTCCGACGAACAGGCGCAAACGGCCCTTCACTTCTGGTTCTTCTGCGAGATATTCTATACACTATCGACATGTATGCTCAAGATCGCCGTCGGTTTCTTCTTGCTACGCATCACCGTCGCACCGATGCACATCTGGCTTATCCGATTCATCATGGTCGTCTCTGCAATTGTGGGTGTCGCATACACATCGGTGGTTATCTTCCAGTGTAAACCCATCTCCTTTTGGTGGGACCTGAACCCCAATCACACTGGAACTTGCCTGTCAGGTACCCTGGTCATGAACTTCACCTTTGTGGTTTCCGGGCTTAACGCCTTTGCCGACTGGGTGTTCGCGATGCTTCCCGTTCTCATTGTCAAGGATCTGCACATGAAGAAGCGCATGAAGGTCGTAGTTGCTGGAGTTATTGCTCTTGCCGCAATGTAAGTATTGAGCTCCTTTGTGTGCTAGCATATCTGACCTGGATCAACAGTGGCTCAACAGCAACGATCATCCGCCTTCCTTACACGACCTCACTGAAGGGATACAAGGGAGATTTCCTCTATCGAACAACCGACTTTGCGATTTGGAGTACGGTAGAAGTAGGGTTGGGTATAACAGCTGGCTCTATCGCCACTCTTAGACCGCTCATGAAGCAGGCCCTTGAGATTACTCGATCAGCCTCAGCTTTACCATGGAGTAAGCCTTCGCAGGGTTCACAACCGCTGCAGTCGGGACATCAACTCAGCACTGTCAAACCGTCGATCAAGAAATCGATCACGATTACCACCTCCAGAGCTCGAAGAGAGAGTGCTAGCTCCGACGAGGAGATTTTCCTAGGCGGTAAGAGCCTACCATCCGAGTCATGGCAGCAACAGCAAGGACTGCCTGGTTATGTCACGTCCACAGTGCTAGATGAACGTGGGCAGCGACAAACAACAGAGAAGAGCCGTAAACACATAGCGGATCTGGAAAGGAGAGGCAGTCCTGGTGCGGCTAGCGACTCCACGATTGACACAAAGTCATCGGGAAAGGCTGCAAGGGTACACGAACGCTTCTAGACGATAGTCCCATAATACAGTACATAATAGATACCCCTCAACGATATAGTTTAACATAGTCCGCCATCCTTTATGCGCATACATTGAAGAGAACCATACGCTGTTAGTTCAGTGGTAGCTCACTGTGACTTGCCATTGACCAGTTGCCGGTGTAAACACTCCATAGCTAGCCTTCTACTTCTCCGCTCCCGCTGTTCTCCACTTCGCTCCCGTGGTCTCCGTCATTAACATCATTCCATCGCAGTGTCTTGTTAACTTTCTTGAGCCATGCGACATGGAAATTTGCCTTGAGCATCAGGCGAGTCACCGCTCGCATTAGTTCACTAGTGGATATGATCATCACATACTTAGCTTCATCACTCGGAAAGTCTATCAGTAGGTCGAGCTACTTTTAACCTCGGTAAGAGAATCTGGAATGGGGGACTGTAGACCTCACTTATTCGTCTTTGTTTGCTATATGATCATACCTGCAAGACGAGGCCATCAACGTCTATATGGTTTATCATGCTCAATGTACATATGTACATGACTTGTCTTCATAAGCAAGCCTCAAACAAAAATCGTTGGTGGGGCGAGAGTTTGGCAAATATGTGATGGTAACAAGCGCTGTAGTTCTTCTCGTTGATGATTGGCCAGCGAAAACTAAAGAAACACACATGATCTCGCACACTAGGAGATTTGCTCCGGCGGACCGGACATGTCGACGGCAGAGCAGCATAAAAGCAATATTGATGTATCAAATTACATTACTTAATCAGATGGGTTGACGCTGTCGCCACAGCTGTTCAGATCCTATGTACATATAACTACCATAGTATGTCCGAAAACGCAGTCCTGAGAACCTCGGTCCTGGTCTTCTGCATCTCCGGTGCGATGCCTACAAGATCCAGTATATCAAGACATCTTCGCGCATCGTCTTTCGCGTCCTTCAGTAATGGGTCCGCGGAAGGAGGTAGGCCGTTGTGGGTGGGTGACAGCGGTTGTGCTTGCTGACCGAGGATGCGTGCCATGAGAAGCTAAAATAGGTGTTAGCAAACGAACAATACTACAGACCGAGTACAACTTGCTGCTTCTTCAAAGGCTCGGTGCTGGAACACCCACCACACACTAGCGTCGATCCTGAGGTATTCCCAAAAGTGGAAGAAAGACTGCAACGCCATCCTGGCTGCGTCCAGCGCACCTTTAACGTCGCATGGCACACCCTCAGCAGGGTTTTCATCAGCCTGTATCGCCATGACGCAGTGCCAGAAGTTGCTTCGAAAGAACAAGTTCTGTCGTAGACCGCGCGGATTTGTTTCTGCCATATGTCTTATAGTGACGTCGTCGGATGCTGTAAGATCTGCAGGAAACGTTTTGTGGAGAGCAAAGTATTCGTTGACAAGCTCAAGTTTATGCTTGATTGATGTAGTCAAGGGCGTTGCCAGTGACCGCGGTATGCAGACAGTACGAGACACGAGGTTAGCCATATGCCACATGGAGCGGATGTATCTCCGATCCGAGAGTTCATACGGAGGATAGAGATCATGGTTCGAAGCGATGTTGCTGATGCTCATGGGGTTGATTACAGGGTCTGTGGCGCCGTTGTTCGAAGCACCATTCGGTATATAGTCATCGAGATCATCGCTGAGGGACTCTGGCTGTATGTCTGAAAACACACTGGTTGGCGGAAGCTTGAGCAGAACAGTAAGGAAAGTGTCCTGGAAATAAATAGCTTGCCATAACTTTCGCCGTTGCTGCTTGTCACTCTTTGAACATCGGGGTGCAATGACATCTGGATCGCGATGTAATCCCATGGCGTATGCTTGCCGTACGAGAACACCTCCAAACGCCCATGCATCAGAGGCATGATTGTCGTTCATTAGGAAGTATCCTATTAGAACCATGGCCTGCAGTGTTCTCACTGAAGCTCGACTAAGATATGATGATATCCGTAAAGCTTGCTGGGCAGCTGATACGTAGAACTCGGCAATCTGCGCCCTGTCGCCACCGTCGGTAGTATGAATGAATTGCGTACCCATGGCATACACAACAAAGTGTAGAGCTACTAACACGGGGTCTGCAGTATGCTTCTCTTCTTGTGGCAATGACCAGAAACGTTCATAGTCAGCATAGAAGTTCCTACGGTGAACCATAGGGTATACTGGGTCAACAGCATCAAAGTATTTGTCAACGAGGATATCTGCTTGCTCTTTGGCTGGCAGTACGCCGACAACCTCGGCAAGGCCGCCACGACTCGTCCAGTAGTTGGCAAAAGGATGTTCAGTCCCTAGGCCAAAAAAGGGTGCAGGCGTATGATTGGAATATGGTATGTTGGATAGCAGGAATGGTGAGGATCCCGAAGACGACAATGACACGCTTCGATATTGTGTTCTGATTGGTGTTGGTGGCACCTGGATATGAACCTGGTGAAGCAGTCAGAAAAAGCAATCCAGATAGTTGTATCCGCCAAGTGGTCACTCGTCGTGAAGCACATGGAATTTGTCACGACTTGACACGACATAACGTTGGACGGATTCCCGACGCCCCACCATGGCAAAAGCACTCCCGACGCTCCGAGAAGGTGGGCCGAGAAGGTGGGCCGAGATGCGTTCGCAGAAGCTCGAGAATGGTACAACAGGAACAAGGAATTTTTATTACCTGAATAGGCGGCTTGCTATGTGGCTGCGGGTCACTGCCAAGCTGCAACGAAGGCCTCGCGCTCGTTTTCCTGGACCGACCCGCATTGCGACCGGCGCCAACCCTGTACACAGCTGTCAGCAAAGCAAGCGCATTCCAGGAAGCCATGGAAACTTACTTGTCCGCCGAAGAGGCGATCAGGTTGGCGATTTCAGAGTATTTACATGTCGACTGTCGCTTGATGCAGGCCAAGCAATGGGGACGAGTGCGATCGCACTGGCAGGAGTTTAGCCTTGCAGTGCAATTGCGCGCGAGCAATGCAACTCACCTTGGTCTTGCGCTCGACACACTCCTCGCAGCTCAGGGTAGGTTTATTGCGCTTTTGCTTCTTCCTTGGTGGCGCATCGCCTTGAAGGGCCGACGCGCTGGTGGTAGATGGATCAGGACTTGTCGAGGGCTGTGTGCCTTCGTCATCCATCGTGCAGCTGCGGGCGGGCGATCGGGGCGCGCGTGAGCTTGGTCCGAGTGCTTGACAAGCAACAGCAATGCGACAGGATCCAAGCGGGTGCGGTGAACACGACGTTGGCGGGAATAAAAGTGAAGGTTGAAGTATTTCCGCCCTGGAGCGACGCGCCCCATAAAGGACACCGAGGATTGCGTGGGGACGCCGCTGTGGAGTTCACGCCAGCCACTGCTTGGCGCTAGATGCGACAGAGGGCCCAGAACCCATATCTCGCTACTACGTCAATCCTGCCAGTTACGCGTCGTCCCTTTGAGCTACAAATCATCTCGAATGCAAACACACCGGCCAGCCCATATTTCAAGCTGCTCAATCATTTGTTGGGCAGGGCTGCGTCATCCCCAGCTGTGCGCGGCCTCGAAGCTTCGGCGTCTACTAGATCGGTAAAGGATAATGCAGCGGAGTTCTCCTCCGCCATGCTGCAGCATATCAACATAGTATGGCAACCATATTCGTTCTTCCTGTGCGTCCCGTTTTCTTGACGGGAGAATGCGTACGTCGAGTCGTCTCCCGCGCCGGGTATAGTGCTATACCCGAAGCGCCGGCAGTAACTACCGGGCCTCATGACAGCATCATGATCGATGCAGAGATTCTCGCGCCTCCGTATCGGCCATATCGTGGCTGACACACTCCCCGAAACCACCTCAAATGTAACCACGCAGACTTGTCACGAGCAACACTTTCGATGGATAGCAAGGTCATTCGAATATGTGTTCGATATTTACCAGACCAAGTACAAGATGAGACGTATAAACAAAAGAGAAAAGCCGTTGCTCGAACATTCAGCCAAATAGTATATCTTCCGTCGACTTTGGAGTCGACTTACACCGCCAATAGAAATACCTGCATCAAGTGTACTGCCTCATCGCATCGCGGTAGCCCTTGCCGCCACGCATGTCATCCTCGAACGCCTCAGCGACCTCGAGCACACGCTTGACATGTTCCATGCTGAACACTGACTTCTCCGAGAGCGCGATCGATTGCGACGTTTTGACCGTGTTCTTGATCTGCGATTATGTGTTAGTTGACCTTCCTATATTTTCCGTGTAACCAGAAGACGTACCTGTCGACCATTCATGCTCTTCTTACTTAGCTCGTCAAAGTCCGCTTCCATGAACGGCTTCATCACCTCCTCAATCTTCTCTACCTTTGTCTTCACTTCCCCACTTTCTTTGGCGCTGTTCTTGCTCTTCTTCTTCTCCGCCTCGGCTTCCCGACCCATCTGCTCCACTTTACCAACATGATGCTGCCAGATCTTCTTCCTCGCCTTGGCCTGTAGATTCTCGTACCGGATACCCATGTGAATCCTGCTCTGGAAAGCTTCGTCAAATGTCTCAACACGATTGGTTGTCAAGAAGAGGATGCCTTGGTAGTACTCCGTCAGACGCAAGAAGACAGACACGAGGCTGTTACGATGGATATCGTGAGGTTGACGCGCTTCGAGGAAGACATCTGCTTCGTCAAGGAGAAGGATAGCGCCCCATGAGTGCGTAATATCCATGATGCGATTGAGATCCGTCTCGAGTGACCGACTGTTGGTACCCAGCTCGCCTGCCGAGACGGCATAAAGCGGACACTTCAGGTATTCAGCGATAGATTCGCCAGTCAATGTCTTTCCAACACCCGGTGGTCCGTGTAACACAACATTGAGGCCCTTACCCTTGCCTTGGATCACGTCGTCGATCGTCTTCGCAGCATTGAAGCGGTGCGACGAGACCAAGCCTTTCAGATTCTGCTTGATCCGACTAGGCAAGACGAGACTGTCAAAGGCCTCAGCATTCCACTTGATCTTGTCAATTCCAGAGAGCGAAAACTCGAGCCAGAGTTTTTCGGAAAAGGCAAATCCAAGCACGACTGGCGACGCGATGATCAACTCCTCTTCAGTAAAGACCTGCTGCTTGATCTCATTGCCGTCCGCGTCTGTCTCGATCGAATTGTCTGGACTGTCACCCTTCTCCTTGTCGACCACGCTTTGTGGCACACGGATGGGGTGTTTCTTGCCTTTCTTGTCTCTCCACATGACGATACGCATCTTGTCTTGCTCTTCTTTCTCTTCATCTTCGTCAGATCCACAGCAGCAATCTTCGTCGCTCTCTTCGTCATCACATTCGCCATTCTCCTCGTTCTGGGCTAGCTCATCTTGCTTGAGGTAAGAGAGCGGATAGTTGGGATTGATGCGGCGGAAGATAGCCGGATCAACCATGACGCGGCCATTAATGATGAAGCGGATGATGTTGTTCTTGTGCTTCATGTACGCGATACCCTTTTGTAAGCGAAAGTTCATACCTTGAAGAGCGACGAACTTCTTGCCCCGCTCGATGAGTTGATTCTTGATACCCTGGGTAATCATTAGTCAGGGTGCTTCAAATTGGTCGGTCGTCTACTTACCTCCGGATCTTTGTGGTACTTCAACGGATATGCAGAGAGGCTAGTAATCTTCTTGTGGCCCTTGAAGGCCTGGATCGTGATCTGGTGGTCTCCGAGACCGAAAGACTTTCCGTCGTACTCCAGGTACTTGCCGTCTACATACCAGGATTTGATTCCTGTCATCCAGCTCTCGTATTCGTACGCGGTATCAACCTTGAAGCAGCGAGGGTCATCTTTGTTGTGGTATGTCGGTGTATAGGCGATAGTGTTCGGTTTGAACAAGGCCCATACGAGATCATAAGTGATCGTACCTGCTTTGAGCATCGGTCGCAGCGCTTTGCGTGTCGCGGAGTAATCTTCATCAATATAGCTCAGGAGAAGTTTGCATTGCGCAATCTGCTGCTTGAGGCGCTTCTGATCCTTCGTCTTCTTCGCCTTCTTCGCCTTCTTCAGCTTTGGTTTGAGAGTCTTCTTGATGAAGGTCTTCAGCTCCTCGTAGTAGTGAAAAAGTGTGTGAGGATCAATCTGCGGTGTATCTTCCACAAGACTGATGCTCTTGCAATCCTTGAACACTTCTTGAAGTGCATTGCGAAGTAGCTTAGACTTGATGTCTAGTTGAGTCTCTTGATACTTGCCTTCCCAGTTGAGTCTCCTCCGTACCGTGAATACGCAGTCAAACTCATCTTTCTGATCAGAATTACTTTCAACAAGTTTCCAATCACGAATCTTCATATCAAAAACTTGATCGACACGCTTGAATTCAAGGACATTCTTCTTGACTGGCTTTTCAAGTTTTGTAGTCGATACGGCTGCTGCGGCTGCGGCTGCGTTAAGAGAAGCCTTTTGAGCCTGAAGATTGCTGAGGATACCACTGACTTTGGCCACCTGGGTGTCGAGATCGTCTCCCGGAAGTGGAGGTTCCGGGGGAGGAGTTGGTGGTACGGGAGTATCATCATCGGATGTTGACGATTCTGATGATGATGCAGAGCTATCAACCTTCTTTGCCTTCTTAGCCTTCCGCTTTGCCTTCGCTTTCGCTCGCTTGCGTTTCGACTTTTCGTCTTCAGAATCAGAATCGCTGCTAGAGGAGCTCGAAGTATCTGAGGCGCTGTCATCGCTGGAACTTTCGAGCTTGTTGTTTTTCTTCTTCCTGGCTTTCGCTTTCAAAGCTTTGCGTCGCCTCTTCTTATCATCATCCTCAGATTCAGAGTCGGAACTAGAATCGGAAAAATCAGATGAGGTTTCATCCTCGCTCACGGTATTGTGCTTTCTACTCTTGCTCTTCTTAGCTTTCGCCTTTGCCTTCTGCTTCTTCTTCTTCGCTGCCGCTCGCTTCGCAGCTAACTTGCGCTTCTTCTTGCCCTTAGCCCTCTCGTCCTCGCTACTGTCCTCAGACTCCGTACTGCTATCAGAGTCACTAACGTCAGACACAGAGCTCTCGTCAGCTTTCTGTCTCGACTTCTTTGATACGTGCTTCTTCTGTCTGTCTGTCTTTTTCTTTGCAATAACCACGTCAACTACTGGCTTTTCGATTTCAGATGGAGAAACAGAACTCTGCTTCTGTTCTGTCGTCTGGCCTTTGTCAATGGTTTGAGTCTCTATAATCTCCTGTGATGAATCCATCCTTCGCTTGTGTAGAGTAAGATCGTCTGGATCGGAAGTTACTGATGGTGTCGCTACAATGACTGGTGAAGATGAAGAGGTGTCGGAAAGCTTTTTGTTTGCCGTTTCAGGTAACGGAGGGATATCGGAAGACTCCTTGGACGTTTCTGGGTCGTTCATGAGTGTCAAACTTGCCGGTTTGTGAGGCTAGCTTTGTTTTATATCTTGTCCACTGAACGTATTGTGTGGTGTGAAGTTGTGGACGAATTTCCAACACTCAGAGCTGAGTTTCGAGATGTATGCAACAAAAAGCAGTTACAGGGAAGACAGTCTCGGAGCAAGGAGAGGAAAGTGGGGGACCTGTGTCTCACACCTTTTATCCACAAGCAGAGCCGCAAGTGAGGCCTGACCTCGCTCTGTTTCTGTATCCGACCCACAGCACTTGCTAATCAGATCTCTATCCCACCCAACACTATTGCCAGGCTACAGCCTTCTGTAATACCCTCCTCAATTACCCCGCAGTGACTTACTGCGGATCTGGTAAATGGCGAGTTCTGCCTAGCCGAACTCAACAAAGCTGATATTGTTGGGAGCGGATGTGCTTAGCTATACCGTTTACTTCCATATACACACCAGGTTATTCTGGAGTGGAAGCCTCACATACCTGGTGAACACTGTGATCCGAATCTGCTGCCTAGCGGGCGACCTTCCTGAGCGAGAAACGTTTCGTCAAGGTATTGGCCCGTACAAGTTATGGTGCATAGATCGGCTGAGAAGATGGTGATATCGCGACCGGTGAGTAGGTAACCAATGTTATGGTGAAGCGTAGCTCAGCCTCGTCTGACAAAGACTTCAGCCTCGCAGGTGTGTATGCCTGTGTGTGGATGCGCTCGCTTTCCCCGATTCCAATCAAGCGTCCGAAAGGAATATGCACCTCTAGTGCTCGAAGCCTTGGGCGAAAGTCTCGACACACATCCGTCGTGACTGCG